CCTCCAGGAGGTTCCCAAAGAGGGTGCCGAAGATCATCTTCATAAACAGCTAGAATATAGCGGCAAAGGCGAGGAATTGGCTCAAATTCTTCAGCAGTTGCAAGACCCCAAGTCTCACTGTCATGACCTGCAGTGTGGAGACATCGTTTCCACGCCCATCGAGCACAAGCTAGACAATACACACACTCAAGGAGAGGTACGCCACATAAGATTGACATTGGTGCCTAGAGTCTAACAACACTAACATTGATCAAGAGGCATGTATTTAGAAGGAAAATGACAAAAGAACCTAGGGAAATAATATCAAAATAGATGGATGATTCTGAATGTGCCCCACTGTAGGATGAAAGAATTCAACCGGACACCAATATGACTCCTTATTAGGTACAAGAAATTGATTCAAAATGCGAGGAGAGATTTCAATTGGTTTGAAAATGGTGAGAATTTCAGTACCAGAGAATGTGTTTTAAATTGTATTTAAGCTATAAACTGAGTAGGATGAGTAGCAGAAATACCAAGTCCACAAAAACTCAATGGGCCAACAACATCCAGGGTATTATGAGCAGTACGAACAGAATCACACACCAGAATCTTCTTCCAATAACAAGATGGTATGAAAGAATAGATCTCAATTCTCACATCAAATAAGAATAAAGTGACAGCAATGGGAATTGTCAAAAACAAGACAAAAAACAAGTATAAGGAGATAAATTTGACAGCATCAATAAAGAATATGTACAGGATTGAAAACACCACTCGCCAGAGCTTGAAACTTTACAAACGAATGGCGATTGGAGAGCCCAGAAGTTGACTTTTTGAAACAAAAACTGATCCGGGTCTCCACTGCTAAGGTTCTTTGTCAAAGCTTTTGATACTCAACCAGATTAAAGGAAGAGAAAACAAGACAAAAGTAAGAGATACAGAGATACCCGAGAGCAGGATTTAGCTGAGCAGGTGAAAGATCAAGACTTTAGAGGCCAACATTCATGGAAGCCACAGAAGAGATTCCATCCAAAGAATTTAAAGCATGTGCTTTCTTTCACTGCCAAGAAAATGACAGCTTTCTTCTTCTTGATGAGAGAGATTAGACATGTACAAGGGGTTTGACATTGTAGGCTGGGTGGTGGTAGTGGTATGGCTGAGTTGTAATGATTGGAAATTTAAAAAATGGCAGGAACTTAAAATAGAGTGGAATTAATTATCAGAAAATTTGAAGGGCTGCTGCTGCTGCTAAGTTCTAACCGTAAGTCAAAGGGAGATTTGAGGATGGGCGAAGGGAGTTGCTGAGATGGATGTTTGTAAGAGTGATTTGATTTATTTTTAAAGAATTGTTTTTAAGAAAAATATAATAAAGTAATATTTTTTTATTCTAAAATATTTATTTTTAATTTCAGCACATGAAAATCATTTAAAAATAAAAAAAATATAGTTTTTTTATAAAAAAAAAACATTAAATCTTTTAGTCGACTTTCATTTAAACAGACAGGACGGAAGACTTGAGAAGAGGACTCGTTCATGTAGGGGGGGACATTCAATATTTAATGGCAATTTGCTTTAAAATTTGTTTTCAATATCAACCTATTAAGAAATTTAAAAACACTAAAAAAATAAAATTTAAATAAATGATATTTGGACTACACTATCAAACATGGTAGGGCTATGCACAGTATTTTTTAATACAAAATATATTTGTTTATGTCATTAACATGTGGAAATTATTATAAGAATATTTTAAAAAGATTAATTTAATTTTGTCGTGTGAAAACTATTTTAGAAGAAGCTGAAACATAAGAACAAAAATGTACTTTGGATGATTATGATTTATTTAATTAGTTATAATGTGATGAAAGATATTAATAGTCTTGATTAGATAATATTTTTTACAGTTCTAACTTGAGATCAACCTGAGAAATTAATAATTCGTTAATTTATGAGATAATATATCTGATATTTTAGTTGTATTGTTTACCTTGGACGCTGTCTTTCAGGCTGTTGTGTCGGGGGACAATTGCATGGGTTTTTGGGACGGTTTTGTTGTGAGGTTTAAGACAAATATTGCTCCCAATCTCACGTTTTCTTTGCAAGGGAGTTGGAGGAAACTTCCCCTGGTTTTGTTAAAAAAGAAACATTTATATATATATATATATATATATGATCGGTTTCATAAAGAACAAAGAAAAAATAACATTTCATTTCCTCTAGTTATTAAAATATATTCTAAAAGTTGTGGGAAAGCATTGTGGCTTTTCTCATACCATATATTTTGTTATATGTGTATTTTTTCCTATATTTTTTTTTTTGGGTTTTACATCTTTTTCCTTTTTTTTTTCAAGGTTGTTTTATTCTTTTTTTTTCTATTTTTTAAAATTTTTTTGTTAATTTTTTTAATATGAAACTAATTAAAAATTTAATTCTATGATTTTATTCTTTAAAATATTATGGATTACTGTAATGTTTTTCTATATAGTTTTTTAAAAGAATTTTTTTACTCTTTTTTTTCAAAATGATCCTGGTTGGTTTTATTTTATTTTTATATTGAGTTGGTTGAGAATTTTTCTTCGTAGTTATTGTAGATTATTACAATGTTTCTGTACATAATTTTTGTTTTGCCATAGTATTTCTCCACGTGTTTTTTTCCACAATTATCTTTGTCATTTTTTTTTATATTAAGCTGGTTGAGAATTCAACTTTTACTTTCCCCACATATTTTTGTCTATTTTTTTCTCATTTTTTTGCTTTTTTTCAGAATTGTTTTTGTTGATTTTATTTTTTTAATATGGAATTGGTTAAGAATTTAGCTTTGTAATTTTTTTTTTAAACACTTTGGATTGCTACAGTGTTTCCCTGCATGTTTTTTTTATGTTTTTTTGTTTTTTCCATAATTATTTTTTTTTAATTTTATTTTTTTATATTAAGTTGATTGAGAATTTAGTTTCATAGTTTTTTTTTAAAAAAAAACACCATGAATTACTATAGTGTTTCCTAGCATAATTTTTTTTGTTTTGATTTTTTAAAAACTTTTTTTTTATCGATTTTATTATTTTTAATATTGAGCTGATTGAGAATTACAGCTATAGATTTCCTCATGAAACACTATAGATTGCTACGGTGTTCTCCTGCATGGTTTTTTTTCCTTTTGTTTTTGTTGATTTTATTTTTTTCATATTAAACCAGTAGAAAATTTAGCTTCGTAGTTTTTTTTTTAAAACATCATGGATTGTTATAGTGTTTTCCCATGTGGTTTTTTTTGTTATAATGTTTTCTAAAATTTTATTTATTCATTTTATTTTTAAAATATTAAACTGTTTAAAAATTTAATTTTATAATTTTTTTTTAAAACATTGTGGATTACGATAGTTTTTCTCCATATATTTTTTTCACAAACCCACGATCATGAACAAGCATGCCACAAGCTCATGGCATCACATAGGCATGACATTAGTTTTTTTTCATGTAAAAACATTTTTAAATATTGCCGTGTTTTTTCTAGTAAATATAAAAAAATAAACCATATAAAAAATAATTCAATGTGATATAATTATTTTGGCGAGTCAAGAAACAATATAAGACAATCTTGGTGGCCAGTAAAAATATAGATTGAATTGAGATATTCAAGATGAGTTTTTTTTATAGATATTAAAAAAACAATATATTTGATTAATTGAGGTTAGCCTCCAATCAATGCCACCTAATTAATATAAATAGTTTGATCTAGTTTGAATTTTTAAATTCTATTCAGGTTATAGTTTTTAATTATATCACTAAATTAACTAGAATTAATTTTATTTTTTAAAATATTAAAATAACATTGTTTTTATTAATAATTAAATAAATAATAAACAAGCTATAACTAAATTTATAATCAGATCAGGATAGATTAATTAGATCAATCCACCAAATTACTTGAATTTTTACCTTTTCTTGCTTTTATTTTAATCCCGACTCTCAAGTTGCCCGCCAAGCTACATTTTAAAATCATAGTTCTAATCGCACAATCATATGATACCAATAGAATCCCCATCAAACTAATGAGAAAGTGTAGTGTTTAAATAATTGTTGTCTGTAATTGTCATCGAATGCCCGAAGATGTTTGCAAGAGCATTTGACCCCGGGTGATGAATGGCCGTGAAGATTGAAGAAACAGGAAACCCATGATTCGGATTTCAAGATTTTCAAAATTTCTCAATCAAGTTTTCAATCCAAACTCTTTCACCGACTTGTAACTGAAAACATTAAGCTACGTATCAATTAATGGCTTTTCCATGCATAAATATATAATATTGATGGAATTCATTAACAATTATGGATTTAGACTTGAGAATTCGTTTATCTAATATGTTTGACCCTCAAATCACGAAGGAGATTTGTCAGAGCTGTGGATAAAACCAATAAGTTATTTAATTTTTATTTAACCATGTTTCACTTGTCATTATATTATCATATTTTTTTATATAAAAAAACTGAAAAACCTAGCTAAATAATTAGGTTTTAATACTACTATTACCTAGCTAAATAAAATAATAATAGGTTTATCATAAATAAAAAAACTAAAAACCAAAAAACAACATAGCAATTAGAAGAAGTCAAGATATTTTATTTTATTTATTCATATTTGAACCACTTAAAAGCTATTACAATCATTTATATAAAAAATTATAAAATTCCAGTAACATAAAATTTCTTAAGATATTATGTTTTAAATCGTGTGAAACTCATATAATAAACCATACTATATAAAGAAATATAAAGTTTTCATCTCTCTTTATACAATTTATTCTATCACCAGTAAATTTAAGTAAATCCACTTATTTGATTAAGAATTCATAGATATATGGAGGACTTGATCTAGATAAGAAAGCAACCCAGCTTGAACACTTGATGTGAAGCCCCCCTCTAGCTTGCCCCTCTAGCTTCCAACTGAACGGGGTAGTTATTTTATTTTATTTGTCTAAGCCCATTTACAAAGGAAACTAGAAGCCCTTTCCCTAATAAGCTTAAACGACTAAATTACCCCTTACCTTTCTCTTATATAATCCAGTAGGACTGTAATAACCCTAGCGTCCCTGCTTCTGCTCAGACTTGCCGCCGCTACTGATTTGAGCCGAGGTACTGTCGCCAAATCCATGCTCTTATTTCGTTGAGCCCTTTTGGGCTTTATCTATTCATGTAGCTGTAAATTGCCTTTCTTTCTTGATATTAAACTTGTTTTAGGCTGTGAAAAAATGGGATCTTTACACCTATCTGTAGCCTTATTCTGATCATTTTCATGTCTCGGGGCTTAGTCTGTTTGTGTAGCTTTCGAGCTGTAATTTTCCAAGCATTTTTAAACGTATCACCAAGATTTATTTATATATATTGTTGATATAAAGCCGATATTTTTTCCCCTCTAGTTTGCTAATTTAATTGTAAATATTTGTGATCTCTTGTTTGTTGGTTACATTGTTATTCATACTAGGCCTTTTTTCTCTCTCTCTTTTGGATACAGTTTTGAGAACGCGTTTATGCATTATTATGATTTGTGCTATGGAAGCTTGGTGCTCTTTGTTTTGTGTTGTATAGGTTGGAATGTAATTGGAGTAGAGTGAGCTAACGTTGTGATTTCATTACTTGGATTTTTAGTGGTTTGAATTGAATTCGTTTAACATTGTGATGTTGTTTTGATTATGTGCTGAATTAATCTTTGCTGTTTCAGCAATGGCTCCAAAACAGCCAAATACGGGTCTTTTTGTGGGTTTGAATAAGGGGCATGTAGTCACGAAGAAGGATTTAGCTCCACGTCCTTCTGATCGCAAAGGGGTAAGTAACGCTGTATCATGCAAGTTTCACTGTTCAATTTGTTTAATCTGGTTTTGGAGTTACATTGTACTCTTCAAAGGAGACTGTCTATGTTGAATTGTTTGTAATACACTTATGTTAGTTAAGATTTTTTTGTTGTTAGGGATTATATATTGGTCTTCCTTGGATTTATCTGGACATTATAGGCCATTTGAGATTAACAATTTGCTCAATGGGACTTTATTATTTTTTTGTATAATAAATTGCTGATATTGTGATATGGTCTCTTCCCCATGCATGTTTTGAGTGCAGAAATCTAGCAAAAGAGTTCTCTTTGTCAGGAGTTTGATCAGGGAAGTTGCTGGCTTTGCGCCCTATGAGAAGAGGATCACTGAGCTCCTCAAGGTTGGCAAGGACAAGCGTGCTTTGAAGGTTGCTAAGAGAAAGCTTGGGACGCACAAGAGAGCAAAGAGGAAGCGTGAGGAGATGTCCAATGTTCTTCGCAAGATGAGGCAAGCTTCTTGGATATTCAATTTTCCTTCTGTTGCTGTAGCTAATGTGTTTAATAGATCTGTAAATGTACTTGAAATCCAATCTCTTATTCTATCTAATGATTTTTTATTGCCTTTCATGGCAATGTTTCTTGCAGGGCTGCTGGAGGTGGTGAGAAGAAAAAGTGATTTGATTTTGTAGTCTCTGACTAGTAGATGCTAGTCAGAGGAACGGTTTTGTTTAGAGACACAATGCTCGGAAGCTTGTTATTTTAATTTTCAGGAAATTTTGTTACTTTTTAATCCAGAACTAAATGTTATGTACCTCGTTTATGATCTGTATGTGTTTAAATGAATTGCAGCTATTTGAATGAGTGATTATGGAAATTAACTTATTTTTTTATCGGAATCGCAATGGGGACAATGAGAGGTAGAGTATCTGAACAGATCATTGATTTGGTTTCTGGTTACTTGCTCATAACTTCTAAGAATCAAGTTAATGCTTGCATCAATAGTTAGCGCTTTCAAAAATTCTCAAATAGCTTCTCTTACCGCTATGGATTCTGCTAGTGCATGTTGGCTTGTGCCTCTGTATTTTTTACCTGGGTAGGGCTTCTCGAGGCATCTCATGCTGTTCTTGGACCATCTCTGTTCTATAAAGTAGTTTGTTATGTTGTAGAAGATGGGTTGGATATGATAGAATTTTATGTCTTAAGTTGTTTGGTACATCTTTGGGTAATGTAAAAATCATTTTTTGTGATCAGTAGATAAATTTGTCCCATTAAAAAAGTTTAAACAAGTTTATATGGTTTAATACAAGAGTTAACTTTGATTGATTTAGTGTAAAAATAAAAATAATTATAGTAGTTGAAAATCTCGGTATTAATTCGGTACAAGACTTAGTTAGGTTGTAAGGTTCTAAGTAATTTGAATCAGTGCAATGATAAATGATATTATTATGGCAGTTTTAAAATTTAATATAATAATTAGTTAAGGTTAAGGCTCGGGTTAGGATTAAGTTTATTATTGGAGTTAAATTTGGGCTGCGAGTTGATTTGATTACTAACTCGAGATAATATAAAGATAAAAATAAAAATAATTATAATTTTAAAAATCAATTTGGATTAATCTAAAAAAAACTTTGGGTTATGAGTTGGATTTACTATTAACTCAGCATAAAAATAAAAATAATTATTATTATAATTTTAAAACTTGACTCAATAATTAATTTAAAGTAAGACCTGGTTTTCTAGTTAGATTGATCAATAACACGAATCAATATAAAAATATAAATAATTCTCATTATCACATTTTTAAGATTAAACTTGCATATCAAACTTTCAGATCAACTTGAGATTAGTTATAAGTTAAGTTGACTATTGAATTGGGTTAACATAATAATAAAAATAATTATTATCATGATTTTAAAACTTAACTTGAGATTTGATTTAAGTTTAGGTCTAAATTATAATTTGAGAGGATCAATCTGGATATACTTATATCGGCATATAAATAAAAATAATAATTATTATAATTTTAAAATTTATTTAAAGGTCGATCTAGAGCAAAGTCTAATAAAAAAAATCTATAAATTATTTATTTGTGTTTTATTTTGATTTGATTAGGTTGAAAGTCAATATATATATTTTAATTATGTTAAGTCAAATCAATTTTTTTTAATTTAAAAATGATTTAAATTTCAAATTAACTCAATTAGATATATTAGTTATTAAATACAAAATAAAAAAAGTTGAAAATACACCAAACATCAAGTAAGATAATTATTTGTCCTGTACCCTCAGTCCAATCAATCATGTACCCAACACTATACTAGGAGCCTACACTTCTTTTTTTTTTTGGTAATGTGAAGTTTGGTGCATTTTGAGCAATACTAAAACCCTGTTAAAGGCTAATTTTTGTTATATCGAATTCTCTATGCAATGTTGTTATTTATTAAATGAATAAACTACCCCTCGTATAAAATAGGCAATCATAGGATTTTTCTTTTTTTCTTTTTAAATATGGGATTTCCAATTCACCTCTTTCTCTCTCTTTCTCTCCCTCAGACCAATTTCTTTCCCTCTAAACGCCGTATCTCCATTCTATTTCTTTCTTTATTTCCCCTTAAATTTTATAACCCATATTATTTAAAGATACAAAATTGAAACAAAATTTAAAAAATAATTCAAGTCAACCTGAATTAATTTGCAAAAACTTAATCACAACTAAAAATAAAAAAAAAAACTAAAAGATATATTTAATTTGGTAAGACGAGATATTTATCCAGTTGTGCTTATTAAATTTCTTAATTAAAATAATTTTTTATTCAATCAAACAATAATAAAAATAAATATGTATATTAAATTACTTGAATAAAATAAAAGGGAAAAAATCACTATGCAAGCTGCATATTTCAAAAATATTATTTGAAAATAAATATTTATATATTTTTAAAAATAAAATTTAGCTATATAAAAGATTAAAAAAAATTATAGATGAATTAATAAAATAACAAAAAAGATAACTCATTTAAAAAAAGCTATATAAATAAAATAAAAGAGAGAAGGTGTATTAATAAAAATATAAATAAAAAATAATTTTAAAAAAATATATTTAAAAAATCTTTAATTTAAAAAATAAATAAATAAAAAAAATCAAGTGTTAGCTAGTCTTGGCAAGCCACACCAACCTGCTTAGCCTATTTTATTAGGTCCACACGCAAGCTTTCTAAAGCAGGCTTGGACCTTTTTTTTCTTTGTATTTAGGGTGAATGACATGTTAATTATTTTTTTTTATATATAAAAATCAGACAATGTGTTATTTGAGATTGCCTAGAAAATTAAGGTCAATTGGTTTTTTAATTAAAAACTCATTTTTCAATTTATTTTGATAAAAACCATTTAGAAAACACCCTCAAAACCTCGACAAACCTATTTGTGACCTTAAAAAGCTCAAAATCAACCCAAAATTAATAATCTTTTCAAACTCATATATGTTTTTTAAGAACTTCTAAAGTATTTAATTACTTATTATAAATTCTTCTCATTAAATAAAATCATTTAATAAAAAGATCAATGATTTTAGTGGCTGAAATCAGCAACAATAATATTTTTCTTTTTTTATATCAAAATTCAGTGAGTTCTCTCTCTTCTCTCTCATACTATAAACTAAAAAAATAATAAAAATAAACTTTTGCATCAAAATTGAATTAAAAAAATATTGAGGTACCAAATATTTATAGTTTTTAAAGTATGAGGACTAAATTAAATTTTTTTTGAACCATCACCCATTGGTGGCGTTTTTTCTATCTTGGTCCCCAATCTTTTAATTTTATTCTTAGTCAACAAATTTGATTTAATTGCTTTTGAATTTGGTCAAAAAAATGCAATCACAAAATAAAATAAAATTGAGGATCAAATTAAAAAAATAAATAAATAGTAGACCTATAATAAGATGTAAGAGGATGCACAATGCATGCGGCTATGGTCGAAAACCTACAGGTTTTGTTTTTTTACGTAATTGTTCAATCCAATCCAATGCACCCCAGACATAAAATTATCCGGTCCAATTTAGTCCAATGCATTCTAAACACCAGACAAAGAAGTTATTTGTCTGGTACAGCTCCAGTTAAGTCCAATCTAACTAATATCATCTAGCATGTCAAACAATTATCTAAGCATGTCAAACACTACATAAACCTGGCACGGGTAGGTTCCAAGCTGCACAAACATTTGAGAGATGCATGCGTTTAAGCTATCAATCTTGCATTTTGGGGTGCGAGAATCTTGGTAAAAATCATAGCGGAATTCTTGATTAGAAGTGAAACCTGCATGATTGAGCATCGCTGTTCATGTAATGGTTAGCAGTATAATCAGAAGACTGATGCCCATGCAATTCTCCAAATTCGACGGATGGATATCCACACAAATCTCACGGAACAGAAATCATTTCCATTTCACGGGTTGAGATGATAATTTGTGTCTACACCCATCAAATATTTTCCAAATGAAGGTGAAGATTATGTAAGTTGATACAATGAATATTATTACATCACTAATTTCTCGGTAAAAGTTGCCTGCAAAATTTATTACTGGTACGGTGGGAAGGGGCAGGGGGTCTGGGGGAGTATTCAGGATTTGAACTTCTGCGTCAGTTTCCCCACTCCTTCCCTGCAATCTTCTGTCACCCGCTTTGTGCTTTCCTTGACAGCTGAACCAAATTCTGCAGTGTGTTGCTTCAACTCTTGCATTGATCCTATCGCCTTCACCTTGATGGCAGAACTAAATTCAGTTGTGTTCTGCCGCAACTCGTGTATTGATGCCCATGTCTTTGAGATGGTGGCTTCTTTAAGTTCTTTGGTCCTCGCGCATGCCTCTACAATCCACTCCTTCAGAACTGAGATTAAGACCAGTATTTTCTGTATGATTTTATCAAGTACTACTCGAGATTTCCCTCTAATGTCATCTGCCATTAGCTTGAGCCTGTCCACCAAGTTCTCAGCCCTGTTAACAGTTCCTTCAACAGAGGAGACTTGCTTTCCAGCAGTCAGCCATGTAACTCCAGTAGAACTCTCTTCATTAAGATCACTGTCAACCACCACCTTGATGCCATGCTTCTCCCACCGATATCTAGCCTCTTCAAGGGCTTTTGCCTGCTCTCTCGCTCTTTTTGCCTCGTCTTCAGCCCATGCCCTGAATGATAATAATAATAAAAAATAAAAATGAAGGCTGTAATTAGTCATAGTATGGTTTTAGCTATCCATTACGTAAGTTGATGACGACATGATAGCTCCATTGCAGGTTTATATCGGTGAATCATGCCACAGACAATTATTACTTTCTTACCTGGCCATTGACAAGGCTTTCCGCTCAACCTCTAGATCATACTGTAATCTAGAGATCTCCTGCTTTTCACTCTCAGCTTCCTTTTGAAGCTTGCTAATCCTTTCTTTTTCATATGATATCTCCACCTTGTTGCTCAAAAGGCTTTGCAATTGCTCCTCCAATTCACGCCTTAACTTTGAAAGAACTTCCATTTCAGATTCACTAGCAGCGCGCTCCTTCATCAAGGCAATACCATCCTTCTCTCTCTCAGCTCTTAATGTTTCTAATTCACACCTTACCTCTTCAGCCATTTTCTCTATAGCATTAATCTTTTCCCTCTCAATGGAAAGCTCCTTCTCAAAACTTGCATTTACATCCTGTTCAACTTGAGCTACTAGAGCACTGTGGGCAGAAACGACATTTTCTGCCACAGCTTCTGCTTCAATCCGTGCAAGCTCCTCACTAACTATGTCAGAAGCCTCACCAGTTGCAAGGGCAACAGCAGCTTGGGCCTTTGTGACAGGTTTATCTGGCTGGAACAATCTTGTGCAACCTTTTGGAAGACAAAAAGGAGAGGGT